GCTCTGGGCGATGGCTCGCTGGCCCCTGATCCAAAACACAGGCTTCACTACAATTGCACTCTCAGCACTTTGAGAACCGGGTGGATACCAAGAATTACTCAGCGGTGCCTCCGGTCACTTCTGCTAGCAACACAGAATTTGGTCTGTATCTATTACAACAAAACAAAGGGAAGTACACATTGAACCAGAAGGAATCACAGAAAAGTTGTCAGAATAATACTTGATGTTCATGATGATTGTGGTATGATAGCTTCAAGGACGTTTTGAACATTTGTCTGCTGTCGTCTATTTGCTGTATATGCTGAAATTTTTGTATTCCATTTGGTATTTTTATAGTCTAGGAGAATATTTTCTGAGACCAGTTTTAGATGTGCTCTGATTCCCTTGTAATAGTCCATTTGCTGCCCCTGGTTGGTGTTCAGAAGGGAGCCAGAAGCTGACGACAGGGACTTTCTTCCAATAAAACGAATTATGGCTTATTCCCTTGGACAAGCTGTAGAATTGGATCAACTTTTAAACCCTTTTTGTGAGTTTCGAAAGGTAAATTCTAACTGATTTTTAAGTACGTTTTTGGAAGAGCTTTGGTACTAGATAGTTAAATAATCTTTATAAGGTATTTTATATATTAGAAGCAGTGATTGAATCTGTGGTTTCTGAACTCATGGTGCTAGTTCTGTGCGAAGAGATGTCACGTGCAAGTGAGGTTCTCCAGTGTCATTGATATCCCCATCATTTCTCTTTGTTTTTACCCAGTGTTGCATTTAGATACATGTTTCTATGAATAAATTTTGATGAATACTTGTACGTACCACTAACGGTTTGTACCTCTAAGTCACTGTGGTTCTTTTCAAGTGAGTGCCAATATTTTTAAAATGTATCCTCTTTTTTTTTTTTGTATAAATGAAAATGTGCTAAATTAGAAAACTCTACAGCACATGTGGGGAAGGGAGGGCCAGGCCCTGTGGTGCGCTGTGGCCACTGACAGGCTGCGCAGGGCCCAGCAGGGACAACGGAAAGGGACGTTCCGCTTCCTTCTCTCAGGGCAGCAGCGAGCTCGCTGGGCCAGGAGGACGCGTCCCAGCTGGTGGCCTAGGGCTGGGTGAACATTTATCTTACCTGCTTCTATTGCTGACCATCTTGTGTTGTCTCTGGAGTATTTAAAGCCTAAACAGGTGTTTTTTTTCTCTCTCTCGCAGTATTTGAATTAGAGCTGCTAAACACATAGAACATAGAATTGAATCAGAAGATGTTTTAAAAATTAATTTGCAACACCTGTTGGTAAAGGTAAATATTTTGGATAAGAGCCCACATAGAAAGTGTCGTAGATACAGGTTTTGCCTCGGTGATGAGAAAAACCACCTTTGAGGGAAAACAGCTTTGTTTTCCTGAATTGTTGCCAAGGCCTTTTACAACATGGCAGCCCTATATTAACTAATATAAGCGGACACTTAGGTAAGAACTTGAGCTTAGGACGACCACCGTCAGTTCCCGCTTTACTTTTCCAGGGCTCCTCTTACCATAACCGCTTAGAGTTACACCTGCAAAGAGTCCGTGGCCTCCGCCCCAGCCGCCTTATAGGTTATAGGTGTTTCTTCCGCTGTTCTCTGTCTCCTGCTGCACGTGACCCGGTGGAGGACTGCCATTCCCCCAGCTCAGTTGCACCCCCCTAACTGGGATCTGTAAGTAATAAATCTTGTGACGACTTCCTTTGTGTGGATGTATTGAAACTGCGCCTTCAATCAAAATGGTCCGTGGGTGGGTTTCACTTCCCCAAAGTGAGCTCTTGGATGCTGGGGGAGCTACCTGCTGCCTCCGTGCGGGTGGCTTGTGCTTCCTTATTCAACAGATCACAATCTGTGTGTCCTTCCCCACCGCCCCCCTAGATTTTTAAATTTTTACCTTTTAAATTACGGTTCACATACAATATTACACTAGTTTCAGGTATACAACATAGTGACGAGACATTTATATTCTATTCTTTTTTATTTTTAATATATTTTTATTGATTTCAGAGGAAGGGAGAGGAGAGAGAGAGAGAGAGAAACATTAATGATAAGAGAGAATCATTGATCGGCTGCCTCGTGTATGCCCCACACTGGGGATCAAGCCCATAACCCAAGCATGTGCCCTGACCGGGAATTGAACCGTGACCTCCTGGTTCATAGGTCGATGCTCAACCACTGAGCTACCGTGGCTGGGCTATACTATTCTTAATATACCAGCTCCAGCTTCTCAACACAGCCTCCCAAGACACTGTATGTGCACAGCATTAAAATATCTTCCTTCAGATCAAGTTCTAAGACATTTCATTCCATAAACAAACACTGAGCATTGAGCTGAGCTGAATGGATTTCATTCTTGGTGTCTGGGCAATAGGCTCAGTGGCTTAGTTCATAGCAAGTGTGTGTACGTTGGTATATTCAGCTTCCTGTTTTTTATGATTAAAATTAACACAATGCACATTGGAAAACAATCAAATAATACTGAAAACTTCGAAGTGAAATTCTCTTCTAATCCCTCCTCCAGAGGGAACACTGTGAGACCCTGGCAGGTATTCTTACAGAAATTTTCCATGCAGATGCAGAAATGTATAATTTTTAAATAGGAATCATTTAATATATATTCTATGACTTGCTTTCCTTAACAATATTTTTATCTGGTTGTTTCCTTTAATAATGTGCCTTAGGCATGTTTCTCATTAACTTGCTTCTCTTAATCTGTCTGGGAGATATTTCTACATTGAGATAGATTATAGATAGATAGATAGATAGATAGATAGAGAATAAGCTCTTTTTATAGCCACTATATAATATTTCATGATAGAGATGAAACATTTTTAAAATCTTTAAAGATGTATGAAATTGAAACTTAACACCAAGGCACCAAAACAGGATGACAAGGCTTTTGATCAAAGTTACACTGAACAAAGCAGAGGCCAGCAAATGTATGTGTTGATTTTCTAGCTTAACTGAGCAGTTAACCCTTTTCCAGTGTAGCTATAGGTATTAACTAATATAAGCGGTGTATTTCTCTAATTTCACTAGTAAACAGAATCGAAGAACTTAATCTGAGATTGCTATTAAGCCTTTTTGAGGATCTTTCCAGCTATAGCAGAATTAGGCTTTTGAAAGAGTTGAGGGATTCCCTTCTGTAGAGCTCACAGAGACTGATGCAGGAGCTGCAGGGATGCAGGCTTCTGTTTCTCTGAGTCTTCAGGAAGCCTTCAGAACAGACTGAGCAGCCCAGGCCATGGTGGCTGTACCTGGTGTGTTTAAACACAACTGCAGGAGAAAGCAGAAAACAGGTGGGGGTTACACTGCAATCCTGGCTTTGATAGTGGCTGGCACAGAGTTCTGGCCTGGGCATCAGTCAGCTCCCGCTGCTCAAGGCCACTGGCCTGAGTGTTGGGGTTATACGCCTGCAGAGTGGCTGCCCAGTGGCCAGCTCAGGTGACTAATAATAGCTTCTGTTTAAGAGGAACCAGCTTAATTCACCAGAGTGGCTGGCCAGGCCTTCCTGGTCTCTAGAGCTGAGAGTGGCCTTGAGGAGGAGGAGAAGGTATGTCCCTGAGGGGCCAGCATGGAGCTGCAGAGCTCCAGCCCCTGACAGAGTGATGGCTGGAGGTAGGAAAGGCATGTCTATCAATCTAAACAACTTTCTGAGGAAGGTCCTGTTACCCCTAATACAAATGAGGGAACCAGCTCAGAGGCGTGAAGTCACTTTTCTAAAGGAAAAGTCAAAGCCCAGAGAGTAACGCAAATTTATTAATCTTCCCAATAGCCCTGAAAGATACCGTATTTGCTGGTGAATATCAATGAATATTAAAACACTAGAGGCCCGGTGCACAAAAATTTGTGCACTTGGGGTAGGGGGGGGATCCCCTCAGCCCGGCCTGTGCCCTCTCGCAGTCTGGGACCCCTCGGGGGATGACCACCTGCTGGTTTAGGCCCGCTCCCTGGGGGATTGGGCCTAAGCTGGCAGTAAGACATCCCTCTGGCAGCCCGGGAGCCCTCGGGGGATGCCCACTTGCAAGCAGGGAGCAGGCCTAAGCCGCAGTCGGACATCCTTAGCGCTGCTGAGGAGGTTGGAAAGGCTCCCACCACCACCGCTGTACTGGCAGCTGTCAGCCTGGCTTGTGACTGAGCAGAGCTCCCCCTGTGGGAGCGCACTGACCACCAGGGGGCAGCTCCTGCATTGAGCATCTGCCCCCTGGTGGTCAGTGTGTATCATAGTGACCAGTCTTTCTGCTGTTAGGGTCAGTTTGCATATTACCCTTTTATTATATAGGATAGAGGCCTGGTGCACAGGTGGGGGCTGGCTGGTTTGCCCTGAAGGGTGTCCCAGATCAGGGTGGGGGTCCCGCTGGGGTGCCTGGCCAGCCTGGGTGAGGGGCTGATGGCTGTTTGCAGGCTGGTTAAGCCCCGCCCCAGTGGGGACCCTCACCTCATGGAGGTTTGGCCAGCCTGAGTGAGGAGCTGATGGCTGTTTTCAGGCTGGCCACACCACCTTTAGGGTGGGGGGTTCCCACTGGGGTGCCTGGCCAGTCTGGGTGAGGGGCTGAGGGCTGTTTTCAGGCTGGCCAAGCCCCCCAGCAACGGAAGCTCCCAGTCTCTCCTTTTTTCTTTTTTCTTCTGGGATTTATTTACCTTCTATCATTGAAACTTTGTTGCTTTGAGTGGAGCTCAGAGCCGGCCGCGGGAAGCTTGGCTTCCTCCATCATTGGGGCAACCAAGCCTCCTGCTTGCTCCAGCTCCATGGCTGCCAGCCGCCATCTTGGTTGGGTTAATTTGCATATAGTCACTCTGATTGGCTGGTGGGCATGGCTTAAGGCATAGTGAAGGTATGGTCAATTTGCATGTTTGTCTTTTATTAGTATAGATAGTAGGGTTGCAACAGTTATAAATTTAAAACTAAATGGTTAGGACAATATCCTTACCCTGCTTCTTAATGTCAGTGGTTGTGTTTTCTTTTTTAAATATATTTTTATTGATTTCAGAGAGGAAGGGAGAGGGAGAGAGAGATAGCAACATCAGTGATGAGAGAATCATTGATCAGCTGCCTCCTGCACGCCTCCCTATTGGGGATTGAGCCACAACCCGGGCATGTGCCCTTGACCAGAATTGAACCAGGGACTCTTCAGTCTGCAGACCGACACTCTATCCACTGAGCCAAACCAGCTAGGGCAGTGGTTGCTGTTTTTAAGAAAAAACTTAATATGTAAATCTAGCCTTTGCAGTGCTGTTATATTATATTCAGCCACTAGAGGGCAGCATTAAATATAATTTTTTAGCCTTCAGGACCCAGTCTTCCATTGTAAAGGAGGTAGGGTAGTTTTGTGATGTGTTTAATAGAGCGACCAGTCATCTCAGTTTGTCTGGGGCTGAGGGATGAAGGAGTTCCAGTGCTAAAAATACAAAAGTTCCTGACAAACTGGGTCAAGTTGATGACTTTAGGGTTGACATGCATTAGATGCCACTGTTAGACTTTCTAGAAATGGGGAAGCTTGATGGAGTGACTAATCTGAGGTTTCACATAGCTAACTAGTATGCATCAGAGCTGGGACTCAAAGCTGTTGTCCATTAACTTGAAGGACCATATTCTTTTTTTTTTAATTTATTGATTTTTTTACAGAGAGGAAGGGAGAGAGATAGAGAGTTAGAAACATCGATGAGAGAGAAACATCGATCAGCTGCCTCCTGCACACTCCCTACTGGAGATGTGCCCACAACCAAAGTACATGCCCCTGACCAGAATCGAACCCGGGACCCTTCAGTCCGCAGGCCGATGCTCTATCCCAGGGGTGGGCAAACTTTTTGACTCGAGGGCCACAATGGGTTCTTAAACTGGACCGGAGGGCCGGAACAAAAGCATGGATGGAGTGTTTGTGTGAACTAATATAAATTCAAAGTAAACATCATTACAAAAAAGGGTATGGTCTTTTTTTTTTTTTTAGTTTTATTCATTTCAAACGGGCCGGATCTGGCCCGCGGGCCGTAGTTTGCCCACGGCTGCTCTATCCACTGAGCCAAACAGGCTACAGCGAAGGACCATATTCTTAAGCAAGATATGAAAATGCCTCTCTGAACCATTTGGGACTGTTTGGTCACGTGCAACATCTGAAACCATGGATAATACTGCATCCTATATACTAGTATATTCCTACACATTCAGACCTATGATAAAGTTTAACTTATAAATTATGCACAGCAAGAGATTAACAATAACTAATAGAACAATTATAGCAATATACTACTATAATAAAAGTTATGTGAATGTGGTCTCTCTCAAACATGTAATTTTAAAAAAATTTCCACCCACAAATGTAATGCCTTTTCCATCTTAACTAAGCACTTATCATGCACTGTGCCTTCAACTTTTGAGTTTGAGGTGTGACTGTGAAACTAGCATGAATTTCTTTATTACCAGAGATCTTAGTAACCTCAGCATACAATTTTTTTTCTTTCCTTATTAAGTCGAGAACTTCCACCTTTTCACTGAAAGGAAGTATTTTACGGCTTCTCTTTGGCATATCTGAATTGCCAGCATCACCACTCATGCACTTTGGGGTCATTATAAAATAAAATAAGGGTGACTTGAACACAAGTACTGTGATACCACGACAGTCCATCTGATAACCGAGATTACAGGCGAGTAGTGGATACACTGGACAAAGGGATGACTCATATCTTGGGTGAGATGGAGCAGGATGGGGAGAAATTTCACCATATCACTCAAAACAGTGGGACATTTAAAACATATAAATCTTTTATTTCCTGAATTTTCCCTTTAATATTTTTGGACCATGGCTGACCATGGGTAACAGAAACTGGAAAGTGAAACCATGGATAAGTAGGAGACTCCTGTACCATTATAGTAAACATTTCTCACAGGGCCAAATTTAAGGATGTATGATGGCTTACTAATACATACTAAATATATACTCAATATTTCTCTCCAACATATATAGGTTGTACATTTGTGTCAGCACAAATGAAACCATGCTACTCCTTGTTCAAAATCCTTGGCCCTCCACTGCCTTCTAGAGAAAATTCGTGCTCCTTCAGCTGACTCACAAGGCCCTTCATGACCTGGCTCCCACTTACCTCTGCAGCTTCATTACATGCAATAGTACAACGCTGAAGGGGCTGTACTGAGACGGCAGTGTTGCATTTCTTGCACGCCTGGGAGAGAGAAAAGTGAGTGTCAGTGTCATCACATGGCATATCAGATTTGCAGACTCTCTGAAGGGGACAGCCACAGTGACCTCAGTAATATGTTAGGGTCACAGCGCACCCCTGCCTAAACCAACAACAGCTTTACAATGTCAGGGGATAGCGCCCATCTCTACAGTCTGTGTCTCAAGGGTCCTTTCAAGGTCATAGCCTTGTTCATGGGTGACTCTGCACTCTCGAGGCCCCGGAATTTGGGTGTGTCTCCCCTCAGCCTATGCTACCAAAATTTCGGCTCAGATGCCTCTTCTGACAGTAACACGATGCCGCTAGGTCCTGCATCTCAGTTATCACATGCCGCTGTAATTGCCCAATTATACTAGTAACTGGCCAATGTAATTGACAGGCACCCAAGTCCATCTGTCACATTCCACCCCTGGTCCCCTCCCCACCGGACAAGGAACCTGAAGAGCAGACGGTCCGAGGCCGGGCGGGCTTGGACGCACAGGTCTCTTCCCTTTCCCTTGCCCCCTGCCACACGCCCCAGAGCAATAGAATCCCGGCTGTGAAAACGGAATGCGCATGCGCAATGAACAGCATGAACTACGACTCCCAGAATCCTCTTGACCGAGACTCCATTTCCCAGAACTCTCCTGGAGTCCCTACTCCGGAACTGCGCTCTTTTTTCCAAGACGGAAAATGAGGCAAACCTTGCAGCAGAGGCGGATTCTGAAGGCGTAGGACGCTGCGAGGTGCCGCGGCCTATTTGCCTCCAGGGGTCGTGCTTGAGTCAGAGAGACGCGAGCTCCGGGAAAAGGACCGGCCGCAGCCCTTCCCGCGCGTCGCTGCGCGATGTCCTGGTTCCCTCCGCCGCGCCAGCCGCCCGCAGTCGGTCTGCTGCTCCGGCCTCGTGGGCCTGAAGCCGCTGCAAACTCTCTGCCCACCTCCAGGCGTCTCTGGAGACAGAGGCCAAGAGCTCATGCACATATTTCCTGGGACCCCCTGTTCCCAGCCCCGCATTGCCTGTTTCCCAGTGGGAAGAAGTGAAGACCTTGGCCCTTAGGGCATGACCCACAGGGCTCCGCGTGAGTCCCTCAGTTCTTCTGCCACTTGCAGCCATGGCCGCAGGAGCGGGAGCCGTGGGGTGGGGCGGTGTGGACAGAAGCGGGGAGGGGGGAGCTCTATGGCTCCTGTGACACAGGCCGATGGCTTTATCCAGCCCGTCCGCTGCGTTTCAGAGGCCTGGGTCCCGGAGAAAGCCTCCTTCCTCAGACCCCGGCAGCGCCTGGGGTCCTCCTGCCTGTTTCTCATTCCCCCTCAGAGGCCGCTTAGGTCACCGACCTGGAAATGAGCAACTGGGACTGGGATGGACACAGGGAGCCTGGAGCATCGGGAGGAAGGAGCGGACTGAGAGGGAACCACTGCAGGGCATTTGGGCTGAAAGTTACCGGGTCAAAAGAGGAGGGTTCGGGCCCCGGGTGCAGGAGGGAGGGGATGTGACCTGTCATCACTGTGGATCTCAGAGGGAAGAAATATGTGCATCGCTAGGCAGGCAGCGGATGCACACACCTTTCAGAGCTCTGTCTTTATGAGAGACAGGAGTCAGTCCTGTAGTTTTGTTCCGGACATTTTCAGTGCAGTCAACACTTGCCCGTGGGCCTGTGGAGTTACAACCACTTCCCCCGCCTTCTGCTAGTAATCCCAAGTTTCTCAACATTGCCACGCTCCTCCGTGCTAGCGGTGGAGGTCCCAGGGGCCCTTTCAGGGGATCTGCAAGGTTAAAACTGTTTCACAGTAATGCAAAGATTTATTTGCATTTTTCGTTGTATTGACATTTACGTTTAAAATGGTGTGTACCCCCCTCCCCAATAGGGGGCGTGCAGGAAGCAGACAATTGATGTTTCTCATCAATGTTCTCTCTCTCTCTCCCTCTCTCTGAAATCAATAAAAATGTATTTTTAAAAAATAATAAAATGGGCCCTAACCGGTTTGGCTCGGTGGATAGAGCATCGGCCTGTGGACTGAAGGGTCCCAGGTTTGATTCCAGTCAAGGGCATGTACCTTGGTTGTGGGCGTATCCCCAGTGGGGGGTGTGCAGGAGGCAGCTGATTGATGTTTCTCTCTCATCGGTGTTTCTAACTCTCTATCCCTCTCCCCTCCTCTCTGTAAAATATCAATAAAATATATTTAATAATAATAATAATAAAATGGTATGTAGGCCCTGGTGGGGTAGCTCAGATGGTTAGAGCACTGTCCTGATATACTAAAGTTGGGTTCAATCCCCAGTCAGGGCACATACAAGAATCAACCAATGAATGCATTAATAAGTGGAACAACAAATCTCCCTCTCTCTCTCTCAATAAATTAAGAAAACTTTTTAAATAAAATGGTGTGTAAAACTGCTGGCACCTTGGCATGAATCAAGGCAAGGGCATTGAGCTATATTTGCAGTTACTGTGTTTTTCACCAATGCTCTTGGAGGGAGGGAGAGCCAATTTCACTTAAGAATGTCCTTAGTGAAGCTGTTAAAAGTAGTCATTATACTAAATTTTGAACCTTGAGTACACGTCCTTCCATATTCTGTGTGGCAGGATGAAACATAGGCGTAAAGCGAGTCTGCTGCAGACCAGTGTTCTATATTTGTCTTGAGGAAAAGTGCTGGGAAAAGCAACCGCATATGCAGTCTTTCAACCCCTGTACAGTTGCATAAGAATATGCCTTGTGCCTAGAGCATTTCCTTACCAAGAAAAAGGGCTCTCACAGCCCGTGCTGGCCACCTCTCTTTGGGGACATCTTTCCCTGTTCTGGACTTGATGTGCACTTCCTCCTTCTGCTAAAGCATGTGTGTCATATGGCACCTGACCAGCCCTATGGCTCTATCTGTTCCTAGTAGGGAAGGAAGGGGGGGGGTCCTTTAGTTGCAGCCAAAGAGGCGTACATGCAGTGCATGCATGCTGGCCATGGGGGAAACTCACTATTGAAGCTGATCTTGCTCTTTCTGTTCTCTAGGTGAGTCAAGTGTTGCTCCATCCAGTGCCTGTGTGAGTCTTGTCTCCCTTGGCAACCCCAACACCTGCAGACTATGGAGTGGGTTGATGTCCTGGCACTGCTGGTCCTGATGGCAGGTATTGTTATGCTATTGGCAGTGGGATTCCTCCTCCTGTGGAGGTAGTCATAGGTATCACTTGGTTGGCGAAAAGCAATCCTGTGCTCGTTCAATATGCCAGCTGAACTACACTCCCAAAACACACCTCTTTTACTTGGATGACTGACAGTGTGATTATTTGGACTTGGTGTTTGGTAGACATTTTCCACCAAATGAACAAAATGAGATTGTCACTTCAAGGGAAATAACTGACATTATTTGTTGCTAATGATAAAATTTGGTCTTTCAAGCATAAATTAGAATTTTGAAAACCACATCTGCCACATAACTTGACAGTTTCCCAATGTTTTAAAGGATTCTTCTGATGAACTAGGTGATGATACCTGCAAGTGTGATTTTTCTTTTCTTACATTGAATAACGTGTCAACATTTGGAAGATCTGCATAATTCAGAGATCTGTTGTTGCAGAACAAATTACTCCAAACATAGTGATTTAAAACAACAAACATTTATTATCTCTCAATTTCTGTGGGTCAAGAATTTGACTTAGGCAGACGGTTCTGACTTAGGGTTTCTCCTGCAGCTGCAGTTGAAGATGTCTGTTGAGGCTGCAGTCATCTGAAAGCTTGGCTGCAGGCAGCTAGAGTATCTGCATCCAAGAGGCACACTCACATGGCTGTTGGCCAGTGGCCTCAGTCCCTCACCACCTGGACCTCTCCACGGGGCTTTGAGTATCCTCACAACATGGCAGCCAGCTTCCCCCAGAGCAAAGTGACCTGAGAGAGAGGGAGGAAAATAGAAGCCTTATGATGTACTCTCCGAAGACACACTGTGTCATTTCCACCACATTCTGTTCATTAGAAGTGAGTCATACATACAGCCCACACTCGAGGAGAGGGTAAATGCGCTCTGCCTCTTAAAGGGAAGGGTACCAAGAATTTGTGGACATGTTTTAACAACACGTCACTTAGTGGCCCAGTGTTTTCCAAACGACCTTCATGAAATGACAGAACCAGGATGCAGGGATAAAAACTGTATTCCAATTCAAAATGGCCCAGTGGGTTTTTGTTGTAACAGCTTGAAAAGCTCGTTGATATAGTTTTAGATTCCACCTTGCTACTAACCAATACGAAGCTATCGTTTTTGTATTTTGGTATAGTATCAAAAAAGAGTATCCATACTTATCAGAAAAGGCGATTAAAACACTCCTATCATTTCCAACTACATATCCCTGTGAGGCCAAATTTTTTTCATGTACTTCAACCAAAACAACATTAGAACAGACTGGAATGCAGAAGCAGATACCGAACCAAACAGAGATTTGTAAAAATGTAAAACAGTGAGGTTCTTCTCAATAATTATTTTTTGTTTTGGAAAATATGTGTGTGTGTTTTTAATGTGTGTGTGTGCATGCACATGTGTATTAACATGTATTGGATTTATTATTGGATTTTTTAAATGAATTAAATATTTTTAAATGTTCTGTTTTAATTTCTAATATGGTAATTATTGCTAGATATAACCAATATAAACAGAAGCTCTTTGGGGTCCTCAATAATTTTTAAGAATGTAAAGGGGTCTGCAAACCAAAAAATTTTAAAAACTCTTATTTAAGCAATCCTGATGGTCCTGTCACCATTGAAATAATATGTGTTTGTATGAGCATGTGGTGCAGCTCTGCCAATGACATACAAAGTGAAGATGTGGTGTTCAGTTTTCAGTTTAGGGTATTAAATAAAAAAATATACCTGGGTCTTCAAAGAGATTTATAATGTTCTGTCTCAGGCCAGATGATTGATGTTTATTAGCCTTCTTAATCTCTTACATATTAAGTTATTTGAGGTGTGAAATATTTTATAAGAAAAGAATTAAAAGAACACGTGGAAGAAGAGTCCACTTCTTCTATGTAAGCATCGTGTCTATTTTGCAGCATATTCCTCTGGTATATTGGACGTGAATGTGCATTGTTTGGCTCTAAAGAATTTTGTGCACATTTCATGGCTCTCTGAATCTGTGTCTGCAACATGTTTGTGATAATTTACTTATAACCTGAGAGCCAGTCCCCAGACCTCTAGCTACATAGGCAATCTCACCACATTAACAAGACTGCCATTTTAAGCCACACAAAGTCCCTCATAAAAAGACGTTCTCTGCTTCTGGCTTAGTCCCTGTCTTCCCTAGGGTCAGGCAAGATACCAACATCTGTCCTATGTCATATCGCATGCCAAGTTCTCTCCCCTAACACCCTCATAAGAGTAGATGTCGACTGGGCTTGCCAGTCCACCAGTTCTGAAAACTGCCCCACTCAGAATCCATTTTAGACCCCTTTTAGGAATTTATCTGAGCACCTTCTAACTGGAACCACAACAGATACAAAGGCAGGCTCACTACCCTGTTAAATGTAAACCTCTCGCTGTATGCTCACCCCCCATAGTTCCAGGCCCCTCAGTCTCA